TACACATTCCAGACTCCTTCTTTGGCTGCTCGGGCTGGGAAAGGAGGACTTTGACACCCTTGGGGTCACCCCGACACCCAGACCCCGAGACAGCCCCGCAGTTCAGAGGCTGTCAGCAGAGTTCTGGGGACAGTGACCAGAGGTGCCTCTGGCAAACACACATGGCTGGTTTGCACCAATGGAAAACTCATGGGGACTGACAGAAAAAAAGATTTTGGAACTCATTTTCATCATCAAGCAGCTTCAAAGGAGTCACAAGCTGCTCCTCAGCAACGCCCTGCAGACCCTCTGCCCTGCCCTGTGCCAGAGGTCACATCTCCATCCTGAGCTCCAGCACAGACTGGGCTGAATCCACACTTGCCTGGGAGATGCCCACAGCATTTTAGGGTTTGGGTTCTGAAGATTTAAAGTGTGATTGCTTTTCTTCCTTTCCAAGTGGGATTGATCCAATGACACCAAATTGCCCTGAAAACCAGAACCATTGAGCATGGTTCTGGTATTAAGGCATACAAAATAGAAATATGTATATACAATATTTTAAAATACAAATAAAATATGCATATACAAATGTATATAAATGTATTTTTTATTTATATATGTATACAAATAAAATACAAATATGTATATACAATATTTTAATGCATACAAAATTCCTGATATGTACAAACGTCAGCTCTCATGAGCCAGTTTCAATTTTGGGATTGTTTTTCTTTTATTTTTTTTCCTATAATTCTATACTTGTATATCCATCTTACTGCCTTGAATTAATGGATGTGATGATAATAAATGTCTAATAAACTATCTCAGGCTCCAGTAATTCCCATGGATTTCACCAAGAAAGTTTTGGGTCTCTCTAGTTCCCCTGATAGTGGGGAGGGTGCTGATTTTTCAGCAGCGTGCTGATTTTTCAGGCTGCAGTTCAGCTGAGGCACACCCAGACACACAGAGCAGTTTGCAGGGTTAGAAGTGTATCAGCATAAACATTGTTGGAAAGTAGTGGGAATATTTGTATTATTTATTTCCAGAATATAAATTGCATACTGTTAAGATAGAAAAATTTAGATCAAGAAAGCAAATGCTCCTTTATTCCTCCTTCTTCTCATACTGCTGCCTGAAGAAGGGGCTGGAGAAGAGGCAGAGCTGTCAGGACAGGCAGGAGGCAAAGGAGAACACCAAAACTGACACTCCTATGGATCTATTTGCCCAATGTGACTTACAGGTTTATTTTATCCATAATTTTCTCTGCAATTTGTAAATCTCTGTGCATGGTGGGGTTATCACCTGCCACAACAGCATCTCCGCTGCTGAGCCATGAGGTCTAAACCCCACCAAGTTTCCTTGTGTCCTTCTGCTTGGCAACACAACACGTTGGTGTGAGCTCCTTCCCTCCTTCCCAAGGGATTTAACAATGCTTCCCAAGGGGTCACAGAGTGCAAATAAAGCCTCAAACCATTCCTGAGTGTTCCAGCCCCTGCAGCACCTTATTTGCCAGTTTAAGGAGCTATGCCTCAGAGTCTGCATGTCTTGGTTTGAAAAGACAGGTGTCTGCTAAGGAAGGCAGGAGCATCCCTGAAATGGAAAATGCAAACCCCCTCTCTCTGAATTATTATAATTTTGAAATTAAGGGGCTCTCAGTCAAAAAATATTGGAATAGAAATAACAGCTCTTTACGAGGAAAATTAAAAATACAAATGCAATAGTAAACAAAAAAAAAACCCCAAAAACAAAAA